TTTCAACTAATCTTGAAAATATAAAAAAACATAACCTTTTAGGATTTTCTTCAAGTTCAGTCTTATACTCTTCATAAACTAGTCAAGGAGTTAGTCAAGTTTGCCTCTAGTCATGTCTATGAATGCTTACTGTGTAGTCAGAAAGGATTTGTTTGTGAAATCTGTCGTAATCCTAAAGTCATTTATCCATTTGAAGTGGATACAACTATGAGGGTAAGTGAATTATGCCATGGTTTGTCATTAAAAGGCTAAGGAAAAAGTTCTGAAAAATTTTTTTTTAAAGTCAAACAAACAATTGTTTAAAATTCCTATGGGTTAGGGTTTTGGGTTTGTATATTCAGCTCTTTGTTGTTACTTTGTGTGCGTGTATTTAGAAGAGTAAATTTTAAGTTCCCATCAATATTTAGAGGCCATGATGGCCAACATTTAATGATGATCTTTTGTGGCCATATTTAATTTCACTGATGTTCATTCTTTAAAATTGTATACACAGTATGCAAATATATTCAATGAATAGAAAATCTTAGCTGGTAAGTTTTAGATGTTCGCTGAAAGATGGAGTATGATCTAGTCTTAAATAGCTCCTCCTTTGTAATAGAAGATGAGCACATTTCTCATTTCCTATGGACTCGAAGATGGCTGTAAAGTCCAATCCTTCTGTTTAAAAAGCCAGCCGTATACGAGGCATGGGTAGATTTGGTCAGTTGCAGATAGACCTGCTTCTTCTCTCAGCTTTTTGTTGGTTTAGCACTCTTTCCCCCTGGCCACTCATCTTGCTTCAAATATCGAGACTCTGAGACTCACAGCTTCACGCCATGAGGATCAATCAAGAGCTAGTGCTTCCCAGCTGTGAAAGTGGATATTGCAATCTTTGAAGGAGCTCTTGAGAGTGTCTTAATAGCACTTGTATTGATCTCACTGGGAGCACTTTCCTGCACACAACTCTAGCCTGAAGGATGACATTTGAGGATGATGACCAAGGTTTGAATTGAGGACCAATAAAGATGACAATTCTAAGTGTGTACTAAACATCTAGGTAGCCATATTTTGAAGTAGTATAAAGTGTACACATTTTGTCTCCATTTTCCATACACTTTATTGTAATAATTTAAAATAAGGTGGCAAGATAAGAAAACCAATGAGGAAGTGCTACAAAGAGCAGATGCCTTGGCTGGCTTGGCCACGTTCGTAGAATGCCAGTAGGTCAACTTCCACTGGACATTCTGTATGGCGATCTAATAGAAGGCAGGAGAGCCGCTGGTCGCCCACCTTTATGTTATATGGATGTGTGCAAACGCGACATGAAGCTCTTCAAAATTGACACTAGCAGCTGGGAAAAGGTGGCACTGGATAGATCCACATGGGGAGAGAGCATTAAGGAAGGGTCACGGATTGCAGATGTCATACACAACAAAATGCAACAGCGCCTGGTGATTACATATGCCCAACCTGCGATCCCAGCTGTGTATCAAAGATTGGCCTCTTTAGTCACACAAGAAGTTGCAAAAAAAAGATCGTCTCTCGAGACGTAAAATGCCACAGCAGTATTGTAATAAAAAATATACCAATATGTATAGAAATGTCCTAGTGAATGTTACTCTTGGTGTAGCCTATGTATTGATTTCCACAAAATTGGAAACTTGTGTAAATAAACTCTTATGCTAGATACTTTCAGGTCTAAATCCCTAACAATAAAGCTCAAACACTTTGTTTCTGTTAACAGTGCCAAGGATGTAAAGCTGTTTATCACAAGACTTGCATGACTGACAGTTTGCCTTGTCCCAAATGTGAAAGATGGGGAAGAAGGCAAAGCAAGAGTAGTAGCATAGAGAACCACCCTGAGGACTATGGGATGTCACCACCCTGAGGACTATGGGATGTCACCAACCTAATCAACTTATGATGCCCACATTGCTGTTTATTTTTTTTATTTTTATGTCAATGGCAAAATGAGAAATTTACACATTCTATAGAATGCCCAAAATGTCCAGGTAAAGTGAGAAATGATTTCTCCATTTCCTATTTTGCCTAGGCTTTTTATAAATGACTACAACAGCTTTAGCTAAACTTTTAAATAATGATTTAAAGTATTTTATTAATAATATAAATTTCCTGGAATAATACCCCTATTTGCCAGCAATCAAAATACTGTAGTTTTGCTCTTTTAACTGTGGAGTATGTTTTATTACGCCTGTCTAAGTGTGCATTCTTTGTAAAACCAAATTGTACCAGGTAAAAAGTTGATCCAAAAGATGTTTCATATTGTCATTCAGCATATTGTGTTGTATGAAAGCGAAATAGGACTACTAAGAAGGAACCACTTGAATAGATATTAACAAATCTGATAACACATTTTGTTGTAATGATAGTGGAAAACACTAAAAGTTAATTTATCGTGTTAAACAAGGCTTTAGTGCAATTCATTTTTGGTCTGAAAAATTAGCACATATTTCACCATTGAAAAAAAAAAGTGCTTATAAACATAATAATTCATTTTACAGCCTGGGACTTACATTTTTCATTAAATACTTTGAAAGCATAGTTTTTAATGTTAACTTTGTCTTGTTTTCATTTTCTGTCCTCCTTGGTGAGGTTTTATCTTTGTTATTGTCCTCCTATGAGTTTGAAGGTGTCTGGTAAGCCACAGTGGGTCTAACAGCGTTTCTCAACATAAGATAATTAATAAAAACGAAGGAAAAGTTGGAATGCAATAAAAACATGTACAAAAAGAATATGTAGACTTTTCTGCCTTTTTATAGGCATATTTTTTAAAATAATTATTTCAGTATAAAACTTAGGCACCCTGGCTGAGCAATAAACTCTTGTTGTCCAAACCGGGGGTCATAGGTTCGAGTCGTGGTGTAAACTGGGATTTTTAATTTTGGGAGCTATGGGCGCCTCTGAGTCCATCCTGCTCTAATGGTTACCTTACAAAAGTTGGGTAAAGTAAAGGCAGTTGGTCGTTGTGCTGGCCCTATGACACCCTCGTTAACCGTAGGCTATAGAAACAAATGACCTTTATATCATCTGCCCTATAGATCACAAGATCCTGAAAGGGAAACTATGTAAGATTAGAACATTATTACACAGAATTTGTATTTCAGAAGAAACTAACAAAATTATTTCAAAATAAGAGCAGCATTTAAGAGTTTATGAATTTCTTTGATTCAATTTGCTGTTGTGTGTAGACAGTTTTAAGCATCTTTAATTCATCATTTTAGTTTACTTAGAAGAAACTAAAGAATTTTATATTTACTATACAAGTTTCAATTTTAAAATACAATTTGTAGATTTAAAAAATTATTTAAGTATTTAAAAATTGAAATTGTACTTAGCATATGGTATAAAAACATGGGTCTACTAAGGTATTTTTAGTCTAAAGAAACCTATTGTTTATTTTTGTATTTTTTTTCCACTCATTTATATTTAATGTATAAATATTTTTCTAAATAAGACATTTTTTACTTTGCCTGACTCAGAACTAGTCATTCTTTAGAATGCCTAGGTGAGGTAGGAAATTAAGAAATATTTATTACTTTGCCTAAAAGTGCCCTGTATTCTATAGAATGATTAGGCATTTCACACTTTGTCAGCAACATATATATTATATACTTTCATATATTGTTTGTTAAATTTACATATATATATATATATTTTTTATTTTTTTTTTAATAGGCCTTGAATTTGATGAATTTAGTTTTTAATTTCTGGCATTCATGGTAATGTACTACTTGTAGTTTTGTATTCTATGAATGTTCAAATTTATTCACATGACCAAAGCCAAAATTTTTTCAGTTTGTGTTACATTCATACAGAACAGCAACCAATTATTGTAAATCAACACATATTGAGTTAATGGAGAGTGCTACAAAACTTGGTTTTGTCTTGTTTTGTTTTCTTCTCTTCCTTTTTCATCTTTTGGCTTGTGTTTTGATTTTTAAAAGGGTAGGAAAGTGATGCATTTAACTCTTTGATTCCATAATGTCGCTCCCATCATTGTTTTTACCCAGCATTACTGCTTGGATCAATGCTGGCAATGTTGGTGCTTTTAAATTTTATTTTTTAGTGTTTTTTTTCCTCCCATACAAGTTTCTAATTGCTTAAAAGATATCTTGAATAGCAAAACATCTTGCATTTCCTTCTTTCAATGTGTTTTTGCAGAGAGATTTTTTGAAAGAGTAGGCTCTAAAAAGGCTCTAATTTCTTTCGATTGATGTTCTGGTTGGTAATGAGCTCCAAACTATCCCTTTTATGTGCTTTTAAAGAGTTTACCTATAATGTTATATGAAAGATGAATATAGTAAATACATTTTTTTTTTTTTATTTTGGATAATAATATCTTATATAATACAGACGTTACTTCAAAAAAGAAGATGATTACGTCCTACGCGTCATGCATTTACTCATGCATATTAACCAATGACTTAAATTCTGCCAAGTCACTGGTTTTCCTGGCTAGCTCAGGCAACCCATTACATGCATAGAATTAAAAGGAATGCATGCCTTTTTATACAGCACAAAGTAATGTTCATAAAACAAAAAATTATTTAAATATTAATGTTTGAAATTTAAAAAAATTACTGACTATGAGAAAGTCTCCACGATCTAGATCTGATCTTTGAAAATAAATATTTTTTTAAAATCATATGTATCCATGTTGTCACACAACTTTATAGAAAAAGCACCTCTAAAACACATACAAGGGAAATTTTGTCACTACTACTGAAAAATGAAACAACTGTGGACAAGTACAAAATTAGATCTAAGAAATATATTATATTAATACTCTGAAAGACACAAAGATAAAGGCACTTTCTTCGTCCCATATGCTAGGACAAATTTGTACAAATACTCCTTCTTCCCTAGTGCTATTAGAGCATGTAATGGGTTGCCTGAGCTAGCCAGGAAAACCAGTGACTTGGCAGAATTTAAGTCATTGGTTAATATACATGAGTAAATGCATGACGCGTAGGACCTAATCATCTTCTTTTTTGAAGTAACGTCTGTATTATATAAGATAATATAATAAATAATTGTTTAAAGCTTCAACTTGATTCGAGAATCAGTGTTCGGGAGATTTAAACGTGTACTTCATCTAAGGGCACTGTAGTGTAACAGAGTTGTTTATTTTCTCTGTGTGTCAGCGTGTAAGAAGGTCATGTCTGCTGACTTTGTGTTTATGTTTTATTAGTACGTAGAGTTATTCCACTTGGTAAGAAATTTTATAACAGGGTTGTGTGTAACTGTGTAACCTGTGTTCTGTAAGTGTGTGTTATTAAAGTGATGTGTCTTGTGTTGGCGTCGCTTTTTTATTTCAGTGTTTTTTGTGTATTATAAGGTTTATAAGTGTATCATTATTAGCGTCCCCGAAAGGGAAAAAGACGCAATTAGTTTTGGAATGTCTGTCCGTCCGTCGCATTTAGATCTCGTAAACTAGAAAAAATAGTGAAAATCTAACACCATAATATTTTAGAACATTCAAAGTTCTGATTCAATGGTTACTTTTTCTTTTCTGAAAGTGAAAAATCTAATTTTTAAATCACTTATGCTAGCAGTTTTTTTCATAAAAATACACCACTTTTATAACTATTCACTATTAATAGTAACAAACACTGGAGGCTCTTTTGAAGGGGAGATGGCATATATGAAATTTTTAACACATTTATGCAAATGGTTTAAGATTTTTTTGTAAAAAAAATTTTTTATTATATGTGAATTGCTAAGTTATGTAAGTTCTGTCATACTAACTACTACAATTACAAAAAAAAATGTTTACTTTTTTTTTAAACAGAAAAAATCTATTTAGTATGCATATAAGTTGTACATAATTTAAAACAACAATTAATAAGTATTTTTCATATTATCTTGTGAATTGCTGGGATCTGGAAGAGCAATCCGACACTTCTCTATTTTATTTAAGGAAATGTTTTTCCTCGAGGATTTGAATAAGAGATTGACCCTTTACAAAACAATTAGATCAATTAGATATTCATTATAAGACATCAGTTTGAACAGGTTTACATCTAACTTTTATTTCACCTATCCTTTGGTCTGCACCACACAAGATCTGTCAACCTTCTTTCTCCGTTCTTCTCTGTCATTTGTCTTTGATAGAATTTCATTCTAATGTTCTTTCTGAAAAATTGAGACCTGCCTTTTTACCTGCCTGGTGGACCACTTTGGGGGCCGATTATGAGTTTGTGTTTCCACACAAACTGTCTTTGAAACCTTGTTTAAATTAAAAAGTGGTGGCAGAGCGTGTAAGTAAAAGTATTTACTTTATTGATCCTATTTGAAGTAATAATGGCTACAAGAATTGAAAGATATGAACTATATAAGATAGAACTGCTAGCGTGGAATGAAATAACGGACCTAATGAATGAGAAAAGAGCGATAGCCGTAGCCCTTTCATTACCACAAGGCAGTGAGTCAAGGATAAGAGAAAAGGTTTTAGAGCTGTCGGAGCTTTTGTGTCAGGAAGGTTTCGAGAATCTGTTGAAAAGGGCTTGGCCAAAGACGACCTGGCAGACAGTATTGATAATTTGGATGATTCTGAAGACTTCAGGCAAAGCGAAACCAAAAGATTTTATTGCAGAGTTTGATACAAGGTATAGGAGATAAGAAAAGAACAAGATGATGCTATTACCTGAAACTCTGGCCTTCAGGTTACTCAGAAAAACAAGAATCACACAAACTGAGAAGATGCTAAAGTTCTGACAGATATGAAAGTTGCTTATCATGAGACGCTGTGTGTATCTCCAAGTTCAAAGGAAAAGAACCCCATTCATGAAACAAACTTGAGCCAAACGTTTCTGGCTGAGAATGAGCTTGAGGCTTTATGGGCAGCGGCATATAGAAGACGTGACTTCAATAGTTTCTATAGAAGGGATAAAGAACAGTTGAAATATAGGGCCTATCAGTAAGCCGAACGTAGAACATTACGATACCGGTAGTAGACTATACAAAAGTAGAAGTCAGTTTAAGGTCAAGTAAAAATCATAAGCCATGGGATAGGTGGAGATCAATCAAGAAACATTATCGATGTCAGGTCACTCAATGAAGTAAGAAAAGTTTCAGTTGGTCGAGATGGAAATGTTTTGAGATGTATATCTTTTGGTCATAAAGACATCTAAATGTCCAGACAGTTGGGAAATTCTAACAAAGAAGATCAAAGTTGCAGAGGACGAAGGAAAAATGGTCTGTTTACTGGAGACCACAGAGAGAAAGATTCAAAACTAGGTTCTGAGACTTTCAACTGCGCCTACTCTTGTGTAACTTTGGTTTTCTAGTACACCCCCACCAAAAAATAAATGAATAAAGATAGATAAAATAAAAGATCTTAAGCTGCGTCTTTAGTGGCAGCAATTTCAGAATGACAAAAAGTATTTCAATCGTATCAACAAAAAAAAAAAAATGCTAGACAAAAAGTTAATTTCTGAAAAAGAATGTTGACCCCATAGATTAAGTAAATGTTATACACATCTATTACATAGTGTTGGTTCTTAATAAATTTTCTGTACTCCTTAATGGTTCCAGACATTAAAGCTGCATTTTTATAACTTTGAGCTCCACATATAAATTCAAGCTCAACCATTTCTAGACATTTGAAGATATTCAGTTCATCTCATCAGCTTTTTTTTTTTGCCTCCCTTAAAATCGTGTAACTTCTTAATCTTATCAGTGTGTGCTCTGTCAGGTGTGTTGTGAAACAAAAATACAAATGTGCTTAAAGTCATTCTGACTATATCTTTTACGTTGTTTGCTAAAACATTTATCAACTCTCTAACATTGTAAACATTTAACATCTCATGGAAATTCTTTATTCAATAAAGACTCGTTGTTAATGTGGTCACAAAATGTCAAAGTTTCGCTTTTTATAGAAACAGTCCGTGCAATATATCCTTCCATTGTTTTTTTTTTCTTTACATCAATCATAGCAACGACTTCCTTGTCAATTTTACTTATAGCCGGATGCTCTTGTTTCTCAATTTTCCACTCTAGATGAATTCTTCAGACGTTTTTTAATATTCCAATATTGGACTTAATTTCAACCACACATTAAATTAAGTTACAAATTTCTATTTCATTTCAATATAATTAGTTGAAAATAGGCAAGAAAAGAATATAGTTTTTTGCTATTAAGTGACTAAATCGTCCCCATTAGGAAGCATCAGAACCATTGGCACTAGCCAAGAAGAAAAATCCCCTAAAATATTCAAGTATATCATTCAACTGACACATTATAACATTTCTTGGTTAGAGCTTCTTTTACAGAAAAATGATTAAGATTTCAATAATATTTTCCGCCTGAAGAATGTCATTTGTTAAACAGTGACTATTGGTTGGCATCCTGATATTATGTCCTAGCTACAAATTCAATAGATTCGATTAAAAACATGTTTTGAATCAGTGCTCATATACATACATGCAGCTGGTATACATCTAAAACTAAGGTTTCACGTTTTCCTTGATATAGTAAGTAAATCTTTTTGATAAAATTTTATAAAGATATGTCTAGTCGAAATGAGAAAAAAAAAGTATACATATATCTATTAATTTTGAATAACATGTTCCAATATTTAACCACTGTCGTTTATTTTTTAATTTTCAGTTATTTTACTTGGGTGTCACCATGGGCGTAGCCAGGATTTTTTTCGGGGGGGGGGGAGAATTTTTTTTCTCTCCCCCGCGAAATTTTTTAAAAATATGTATGTGTGTGTGTGTACATAATCTTTATTACATTCTCACCCTTCATTATTTCGGAAGACGTTTATTGTGTCCTAGAATAGGTTCTTCCTGGAGTTAGTGGAAAAATTGTAGACTCCCAGACATCGGCAGCATGGGGTCTGGGGGAGCGCTAACAGCTACGCCCCGCCGCCAAACACTATTTCTGGTATTAAAAGCCAAAAAAATGCATATTCTAAGGTATCTACAGTGCATTTTTCTGCTATAAAAAAGTTTTATTTCAAAAACCTAATGTGCTATTCTTAGTGACTTAGACCCCCCCCCCCCCCCCGCGCTTTTCGGCGCATTTGCCATCAAGCTGCTTCCACAAAAATCTGTCACTGGTAATGCCTGAAGCCTCTTCTCCATGAATGTGTGGCGCCAAGTTGTACTAGGATGTAATCGCAAGTCTTATTATGCGTAACTCATTTTGTCGGAGAACAAAACCTCATGCGATGCTCTGTCACAATCTTACTAAGGGGTCGACTCCCAGTTCGGCATAGGATTTCCTTAATTTAGACCCGATTTCTATAACTGACTCCTAAAATCTGCCTTGGCCATCTTTGTTGAGCCACATTTAGTGTTTTTCAAATTCGGCAGATGACTATTCACTGCACTTTATTAATGGAGCCCGGCCACTGGTAGAAATGTGTAATCTCTCTTGAATATGCTATCGGAATTAGGTGACTGTAGTTTGCTTTAGATTTTATATCGAAAACGGAAGTTTTATCGTCAAAATCATCTGTTGGGGGTTTTAAACTTAGTTGTTTTTTAGAATCAAAACCCCATTAAGCTACGATCTTAGAGTTTGATGACTGTAGTTTGCTTTAGAATAATATTGAGGTTTTCCACCTCAAAACGCTCTTTAGGGGGGATTTTAAACTCAAAACCATCTGAAGGAGAGGAGTTTAAACTCAAAACCCCCAATTGGCTTGGCTACGCTCAAATAATTTTAGTGAGTAATTTGCTTTTTTTTTTGAAGAGGTATTTTTTTTAAGCATCAAACCTTTCTGAAGAGGGATTTAAACTCAAAAGTGCGTAATTTTTTTTTTACATTGAAGATGTATTTTTTTTAGCTCTTGCGGGGGGTTTAAACTCAAAACCCTTCAGCTACGCTCATAGATTTTAGAGTGTGTAATTTGCTTTTTTTTTTTTGAAGATGTATTTTTTAGCTTCAAACCCCTTTGGCTACGCTCATAGATTTTAGAGTGTAATTTGCTTTTTTAAAATTGAGGATGTATTTTTAACTTCAAACTCCACTGGAGAGGAGTTTTAACTTAAAACTGAGTCAAAACCCATTTAGTTACGCTCATAACATTTTGAGTGCATAATTTGCTTTTTTTTTTTCATATTGAAGAAGGGGTTTATCGTAAATTTTGGAGGAGGTTTTAAAATCAAAATCCTCCTGAACTGTGCTCTTGAAATTTGGGGATTGTCGTTTGCATTTTTTTTTTGTTTTGTTTTATAGAAGAGGGGGATTTATGTGCAAAAACCCCTGTTAGGGGGTTTTAAACTCAAAACCCCCTTTGCTTCGCTGGGGCAAGTGATGTTTTAGCATAAAAGTCTCACC